CTCTCGAAGGAAAACGTTCTGATTGGACACTATTAGCGAGCGCTGTGGAAAAAATATTGATTTTTTGAACTTTGAAATTTGTTTCTTTAATTTAAGTATGTATATTTAGTCTGTATACAGGGTGATTCAAAGTTGGCCTCAGTGGAGACGTTGCCTGGGGGTATGTAGATCATACAGAAACAGCAAAAAAAGTGAGTCTCGCAAAAAGCTGAGATATTCCCAAAAAAACTACTTCAAAAATTTGGCAACAACAAGCAGAAGACCCCTGATTAAGCGGTCAACAATATGCCCACAATATAGAAAATTCCTGTTCCAACAACTTTTCTTACTTTTCACCCAATGAAGTTCACTAGTTCTCCGAAAGATAACAAAGAACGCCATCATAGTCAGAAATCTAAATACGTAGTTATCATAGTTCGCAGTCAAACTGCACAAGCAAAAATCAATCTTTTACTCATGTTGCCAAGTGTCCACCAAAGAAGCAAATTATTGGTGGTAAATTTGCATTTTGGTATAGCTTTCGCTTAATGTTATTTAAACGAAAAATGTATAGTTAGATTTGACAAACGCGCGAAATTATCCGAACTGCATAACCCTGACAACGAATTGAAAGACAGCCGGGTTTTAATGTCATTCAATGTTATCGTAAGGAAAAGTAGTGAATTTCAATGAGTGAAAAGCAATCAAAAACCGCATTTAGACAAAAAAATACCACCAAAAAAGTTGTTGAAATAGGCATTTTCTATAAGACATATTGTTAGACGCGCACTCGAGAACCTGATGTTTGACATGCCATTGACATGCAAGCAAACTCGATTTATTACAAGTCGAAAAATACTTCCATGAATGTTTACAGTATTTTTTTTTCGGATTAAAATAGTTTTTAAGGGCACAAACATGATTTGTCAGCATGGAAGACATAATTTAGCATCAAATGGAATGCTGTCAGATAGATCTGCCGCTTTTGGCTTTCGATACTCAATAGTCCACAAGAGTATTGCCAAGCATCCAGCAAAATAGCAAAGCTCCACACAAAACACAAAATGAAACCAAAAGTGAAATTCATAAAGTTAAAAACTTACCTTTACCAATACTGACGCAAAGTGACCTAAATTAAACAAAAAATAAGCCAAACCAATACATGCTAATCCAAATTAAACAAAACTCACTCAAAAGTTACAAAATGTGTCGAAAAAAAATGGTTATATTGACGTTGCAACATGGTTAACACGAAACGACCTTTGCGACCCAGCGTCCCTTCATGATGTGATGCCTGTCACAGTCCAATCTACATTGTTTTGTCAAGCGCCGTTTCCAAAACAAAAGATTTAAATTGTAACCGAAAACGACATTTCCGTCACAGATTTTAGTAAGAAAACGAAATGGAGCAGATCTAGATAATTACCTTATTTTTTAAATATAGAGTCGAACCGCTGCCTTTCCGTCTTAAAAAACATTGTCTGGCCATCTTTACCAATTACCCTCTGGTAAATATCCGTCAAACTAACAGTTGCTGCTTAAAAGTAACAAGAAAAAAATGTATCAAAGTGACAAGCAGTTGAATGGCCGTTGCACCATGATAGAATGTTGGCATATCGACAGTGACGTTCGATCAGAGAGCACATGTCTAGCATTTTATTCGTTGTCATGGCCACCCTGTCGCCTGTGGCTATTTTCATATTCCCATAGCACATGCGTATCAATTTAGACGTTGGCAACATTGTCGTCTGAAGCACGTGTGATTGGTAACATCGCGTCGGCAAGCTCCTCCAAAATACAATCCATTTAGTATAGAAAAAAACGATTTTCTTGTAAGTTCTTCCAGTGATTTTCGTAGTTTAGCTAGATTAAGTTGCAGTAGAGATTAGTTTGAGTGCCTCGCTTCAGCATTTCCATTGATTTTGCCCGACAGAAAATGCTTGGTTAGGTGCAGGTTTGTTCAGTGTTTTGTGCATTTCAAGTGTGCTTGGTCGAGATTTGCGGCTCGTTTGTCTTGCTTTTTGTTTCGTCCGAGTACCAAGAAGAGGCCAAAAATAGAGACTATTTAAAAATAAATTAATGCATGCAAGGTAATCGACAACGGAATTCAAGTGACACGTGCAAACATCTAGATGCTCTGGGCCTCATCACCTTTGGCAAAATCAATTGTTTCATTCGGAACTTGTTTTATTTATCCTTAATGCTGCATCTAGTCTCAACGGCGTTGGTTTGAATAGTATATTTATACCAACAATGTACTTCAGGATCTAATCTACATTAGTCAATCTGAAATTGAAAACTTAGCTTTTAATATCTCTTCAATCGGAATATAAAAATGTGGAAAAAATATCTATGCTTCTACGGTAAAATATGGCTATTTCGTGACGAACGACTGAATTTCTAGCTACAATGATTAATGTATCAATACAGAATTTCCATAAATGGCAATGAGTTGCAAACATCGGCTTAAGCTGCTTCTATTGCCTTTACCTGTTTTCCTCGTAATGTTAGCCTTCTGCCTGCTGCAGGAATGTTCCATATTCCATGCTACCATTATTAAAAATTCGCATTGGTGTAGTCGCTAATTATGTAGTTGAACTTTTTCATTAATCAAGTTATCCAAATTTTTCTCAACTAGGAAAGTGTTTATTGGTAGAAAATTATTCTAAACATAATGTACATACCGTACATGGTGTCCAAAACTTAATGGCTAACTTCGATTTAGGCTAAATTGAGTGTATCGTAAACAATGGATTTGGTAATATTTAGGCCCATCAGTGCTCACCTTATAGATTATATTTTTATTAACAGGTTTTCTTAATGGTGTTTTTAAGCGATATAAATTCGGTTTTCGACCACTTTCCACACATTCAAATTACCCCTTTTCCATAAAATAGCAAAGGATACCACCATGATGCCAAACCGTTGTCACAGTGACAGGCCGGAAAATCTCTCACATTTATTGCTAAATCTACACTGTGTTTCTACTTTTTGAAGATATTTGGAAAAATATCAGTTGCAATTTAAGCGTTGCTCATAGAACTTGCGACCAACTTTAAAGACATTTAGATTTAAAAATGTTCACCCTATATGTGTAACATTAAATTTATGTCAAAACTTAACAGAACAGTTATTTCTACATAAGTATTCTTAATTCATTCAACGAACACTAGATTTTAATAACACTCTCAACTTAAAATGGGACAGATTATGTAATATTTAAAGTAATAAAACAAGTAAAATACCTAATATTTATTAAAGGTTTGTGTTAAAAGTGATCACCATTGGCAATGGTGCACTTTACACAACGGTTTCTGAGAGACCTTCAGTTGAAAACGAAAAATTCAGAGGTTCTAAGTCCGGAAATTGAATGGTCACCCAAATTCTTAGACGGGAAATCCAAAGATTTGGAATAATCTCTAATAATATAAGTAAGCATGTGGTGGAGTTCCATCTTGCATAAGCTTTATGGATAAAATCTAGATTCGGCATTTTCAAGCTACAAATGTGGAATTGAAGTCAAATTTCGAAATATTGTAACCAAGTTATAATGTGAGAGAAAAGTCTGCTACATACCTGCTAATGAATTTCGATTTAGGAATGGGGATGAAAACGTTGATATGAAAAACGGAGTTTTGAAAAAATAATTATATTTAGAAATGGCCCTTAAATCTGACGGCGTAATGGAGGTAAAATTTAGAAAAGTCCAATAAACCAGGCAAAAGAAGCGAAAATCCATGAATAACAAAAAACTTAGATTACAGCTTTGATGTTCAAGTCGAAAAAATCATCAACATCTCATATACATATACACGATTTCCAAAAAAGTCTATTAGACTAGTTTGAGGCTGATTGATTAGTGCATGCAACATAGATACAGTTTGATCAACTCGTCTTCAACGTTACGTCACGTAAAAATTGTTTGGTCAGGGCGAAACGCCACAAGAAGGTCGGGAAGTGCTTATAGGTTTATTGTCATTTGACATTTTATTAACTCTTGCGACCTAATTAATAACATACAAAAGTGGTTCATAACACAAAACTGATTATGTTGATACAATATAAGACAAAGGGCTCTTTTATTCAAGTATTTCAAGGACATAAAAGAAGATACCGCTTTTAATACAGTGTTGCTAGATTGATATGTTAATATGGAAGTCCCTTGTGACAGCTGGCTGAGCTGTCAACGGCAATCAGCTGTACCTAAGTGATGGAACACGTGCGATTTAATTAAAGATGTCCCTCATTTGCTGCCTGACGTCACGTTTTGGGACCTAATGTTGACGAACAGTTGATCAGACTACACTTGATCGGCCTCATAATTTACCGGAACAACTCCATTGGACTTTATGTATAAATTCTCAGCCTAATAGTTTAGAGAATATTGAAAGGCGCATTCTAAATCTGTCAAATTATAATATAAAAAGCTTACTTAATTTGTTTTTGTATTATGTTCAGTTAGTCCCCTGGTTTTTTGACTGCATGTAGTTACCAAAAACGCAGTTTATTTTAATTTACTACTTTAGTTTACAGCCGCATTAAAGCCCCTTAATGCTGCGGTTTAGTTTAGTGGATGAGAAAATAAGCAGTTTCAATTCGAATGGTGCATGTCTCTCTCTCTCAAAAGAAAATATGAATGCTCATCTTGAATGAGTGCCAAAATGCTTGATCTAACTGTAATATCATGATACTTAATTTAACTTAATGAGTAAGGGTCTGTTGATATAAATATGTTACTTTAATTTCCTCGATTTATTTACGTACATTTTTCGGGCGGCCCCAAAGTACTCCATTAGTTCCAGCTGTGTAAAGTTCAAATGGCATAAATTGATCACTTTTAGCTTAGTCAAATCCCAAGCCCGATCGGATTTTTTTGTTAATAAACATTGAAAATACGAATGTTTATTCATTTGCATTTCCCCTCAGCTTATATACATAGATTTGGCCCCGGTCCTATATTAAAAACCTGCTTTATTTAACAAGTAGTTTCACCTATTTATACTTACCTTATTTATTTGCAGAACAAAATACACAGCACCTTTCCACCACCCTGAAATCCCCTAGCCAAATAACCATGGACTTGGATAAGCAACATATAAATGATGACCCAAATGTCACATTAACAATCAGACTGATTATGCAGGGAAAGGTATGTTTCATGATTATTTTTTGCTTATATTGTACTGTCGATTAGTGTCTGCTTTCATTCAGAATGACCGCAGGCAGGATTAATTTTGTCAATTCTCAAATCGAGATAAGCCCAAGTGTGCTTGAGTGCTTGCGAAAGAACGGTTAAATAATTCACCAAAGATTGTCAAGGACCGTTAAAGATAAAATGCTGATGTTTTTTACGCAAGGACAATTTATTTTGTTATTATTGATAATTAAGTAGACAGTTTGTCGTCTAGTTATTGAAAGTTTTGAATATAAAAAGGCGCCATTCTAGTCTTCTAATTTCAACATGTTTTTTATCGTCGGTTTACGGATACTTTTTAATGGAGATGTTCGCAAAGGAAAACCGGTTATAGTAATGTTGCGAAATGTTTTACGAAACGAAAATTTTTTCTTAATTTAACGTCTTTGAACATTTTTTTTATTTTGGTATCATTTTTCTTCGGTTTGTTCACAGCAAGTAACTGAGCTTTTTTTCCGTTTTTTTTCTAGTTAATTCGGTCTTATTGAGAAAAACGCATTGGTTAACTGCACATTATGCACATGGTTTTGTATACATACGATATTTTGAACAACATGATTCTAATTAAATGTGTGTTGATGCTTCTTCATACAAACAATCGCGTAGCTTGCCTTGAACCTGTGATTTATATTTTCTTCAATATCTTCGGTTACGTTCAAAAATGTCTCCAGCTCACTTTTAGGCTTTCTAAGAATTTTTTGAAGTACGACCTAATAGGTCTAGTAATTGTTTCTCAAGGTATTTTTAGTAACGAGGCTTGGCACAATCAGCTATTTATTTATGCACCTAATAAAATAATGACAAATTTTATTTATTTGTTTTTACTTTCTGTGGGGTGCGTAATAGAGAATCCGGGGCAATTAACGATCTCTGCTTAAATTCATTTCACAACGTAATACGCTGGTCAATTGAAAAAACGTTTTATAAATTGCCCCAAAAAATCAAGTAATGTAGCGGACAAAACGGCAATATTTTTAAATGTTGAGAGTGCTGGAAAAAGTTGCTAGATAGCTATCGATTAAATTTATTTCCAATGAAAAGTCTGATTATGTGGCTGAATTCTGAAGATCTTGCCAGTCAAACCAAAAATTAGGGCCATATTTGCAGTTGCTGTATAATAAATTGGTAAATTTGTAATTATGACGAAACGCGTAGTGTTTGAAAAAAATCTGAATACATGTATGATCTTATAGAGAGTGATGAGATGTTTGAATACTGTGACAATTAAATAAAAATCTCGCCAAATAAACTCCAAATAAATTAGACAAAATAAAAATCGTTTAAAATTTTTAATGAAAAAAAAATTACAAAACACGTTGAACCACCACCAAAAAAAGTATAGCGTGAATTTTTTTGGAAAAACGAATATTACGCAACCCCACTATTTAAAAATTATACATATTTGAGCATTTACAACGACAAAAAATAATTTCAAGTGCCTTTTACTCATTTTTATAATAATAGCCTTTCACTCATTTTGATAGAGTAAAGAGTCTCATATACGCGGTTTGTATCAGTGGATCAAAATTGTAACGTTGTGGTTAATGTTGTGTTTGGAATGAACTGGAAATTAATTGAAATAATTAAAGTAAATTTGTTAGAAATTGGTCAAGTTAAAATGGTATACAGAAAAACTGAGAAACCGCATACTTTTATGTACAATTATCTGTTAAAATGTCCGAGTTTCTAATTCTTACTGTATTTATAGTATGGAAGATTGTACGCAATTCAAAGAAAGGTTGTCCAAATTTTAGAGAAATCAGATCATCACTTTTTTCTCATAAAACCCTGTCAAACGCACGCCAGTTAAAATTGAAATATATATATTATAAAAAAAATTTGTTTTAATTAAATGATGATGTTTCTTCATGTAGACAATCGCTCGCATAAGGCTTGTTTTTATCTTGTTTTACTAAATCTTTGTTTTTCGCGGACAGCTAGCAAGTTTTTGTAAATTTAAGCTTTTGACAATGAACTCGGTATTAAATGTCTTACAAGACGCCATTTACCAAATTGAACTGCAAATTTTTAAATAATAAATGTTTTATCAAATATAATAGGACTTGCAAAATGCATTTTGTCCATTTATGCCAATATACATATGTACCTAATCTGATTTTTGGTACAAGAAAGTAGAAGTCATCTAGAAAAAATTAAATTATTGTTGGGAATACAGTTTGTTTGTCTCGAAAAAATTCAATTTGAATGTCATTAGAAAGTTAACAAAAGCGAAAAGTGTTGAGTTGATATTTTTATTAAATCATTTTCATAAAACAACATAACATTTGTAGTTTGATAATACTAGTAGCAGAAGTTTTTTTGTAAATTTAAGTAAAATAATTCTCAAGTTTCTTAGTCATTTTCATGTTCTTCATCTTCATCATTACAGTTTGCCACAATTTTTTCAAATATTTCTTCATCAATTTCAGCTCCGCGTTGTTTGCATGCTGCAAAATGCATTGTTTAAGTTTAAGTTAATCAATTTGAAATTTTGTCGAAATCGATGTTTCCTTAACATCGATATTACCTTTCGATGTTATAGAATTGATGCCCCATCCCTAGTTTGTCGGGACGAATGCCATCAGCGTTATTGTCCTGTTTTTTGCTAGCATTATACAGAAGAAGTCACATTTGCCCACAAGCGTTTACAGTTCAAATGAAAATTATTCAAATAAAGCATCATACAAATTTTTAATTAATTTTTTTGTTCTCCACTCGTTTCGTGTGAATCTCTTACTTCGTGTGATTAAACAAGGCTTTATCCAAAGTTTAGTCTATTAGTTTAAAGTCTATACTATTCATCATACTAACTTATTTTTTATTGCAGAATTTACTGTAAAAATTTGTTTACTTTTTGATGACAAAATGTTGCCGAGTTACGTATAAAAAATATATGTTACTTACTTACTTATATACTATTTTTTATATAAAATTTTAAAACCTCTGATCTACAATCGCTATTAACCATCAACTGCATTTGGAGCTCAATGTAGAAATCTTCCATTAGGTAAGAGATAACGTTTATCCTGTAAGAAATAATAAGCGCCTTTAAACGACTGGCCGTTCACTTATCTGGAAAACTTTTATTTCGGATTACACGCCAATCGTGTACATAATTTCTTTCGCGTGAGGCATTGCTTGATTAAATTATAGTTTGAGTATTGTTGATAAATGACAATAGAGTATTGATTAGATGTTAGAGTTTTCGAAAATAATTGCGGGTTAAAAATTAAATCTCTAAAACCCCGAAGATCGTTGTATAGACAACAATACATTGTGTTTGTTTGTTGGCTTATTTAACTAGGTTTAATGGTCATTCTGTTGGAAAAATGCTTGCCGCAAATTAAGAGTTTATTTCTGGCTTTATTGTAATAACAAAATCGCCTTAAATATACTTATATAATTTAAAAGAAACCATTGATTTCATTGATATATTACTTGAAACACGGTATTACAACATGGAACCGATTGTGTAAGATTTATCACTTCAAAATGTATGAAGAAGTAATTCTTTTTGTCATTGAATTTGTTAAGGAAAATTTAGTTTAAAACTGCATTTCATGCTGATCCATCTCAGCATCGAGCCGGTTCAATCAACTAAATGCAGTTGAGTACGAGAAAACAATGAATTCCCTGCCTTGTTAGGTAAATAACTGGGCCTTTTCCCTTGAAATGTATTCCACGAAATGTCCTAGCATCAAGCGGAATTAAAACATCACAAATTGTCTAAATTAACATTGCCAATAAATTGTTTTCCGATGTAATTAAGAATAAGTACTAAATTCCTCAATAAAAGCTCTGCGCTCGTGAACTTGTTTCGAATGTTTAAGTTACATTTATTTGGCGAATTTAATTGAACCAACCAAATACCTGCAAGCGATAGATGACTATTTATTTATCCATTATAAATGTTGTCATTTTCCATGTGAATAATGGGATTAGAATAAATAGCTATTAAAAATTCAAAGTTTTAATACTTTTTTTCTGTCTCAGAATGATTTCATTGAAAATGTTTTTCGCTATTATTACTCGTATTTTGAACTTATCACACCGTTCAATTTTTCATGTAAAAACGCTCCCTCTAAGTAAACCGAAATCATGTCAAGTTGTCTCTGATTTAAAAAGTAAGCCAAATACATCTCTACTTGTACAGATCTACTTGATTTTTATGCCCCATAACTTTCGAGTGGAAGTTCAATGCTTTCATCTCATCTGTGCGTTCTTATCATCGCTTGGAAATTGGTTGTTTGACGAGACTTGTATGTCTTTTGAGGGCACACAGGGTCGATAATAAATCGGCCCAGACTACTTTTTGATTAAAAAATGGCGGTTACAACGGGAAATGAACAGGGCGAGTACAATATTTGGGAAACGTCCCGCAGCCCTAAAAAGAACTTGCTAATAATGCCAAAAACATTTCGCTGGACTCATTCATGCTTCTAAATTAATTTGTGAAGTGGAAGTTGGTACGTTTTTGAATTTGCTCGAATTCGAATATCATGGATACAAAATGTATTATGAGATGGGTTAGTTTCAATCAGAATTTAGGTATTTTATTAAGGAAAACAATATAAAAATTCACTAACTAGATGATTTAGTAGATTTTTTTGAATGATGCAATTGTATAATATAAATATCTGACAGTGCAACTCCCATGCACACAACTGACACTTTTTTGTCGTTTATGTTGTCCTATATTTTATGATTGTTTCGAAAGCACTTTTTACTGCTTTAAAAAAAACCGTAGGATTTTGTAGCGTTTTCCAATTTTCACTACTTATACACTTTGTACATTAACGATTTTGTGAATGGTTGATTCTCTTAAAGAAAAATGACCTGCAAAATTAGTGGAATAAAACACTTGTTATGCACTTCTTTAAACGTTGATTTGAGGTTTTTGTGTCGATGAGGTTTGGGAGGTTGATTTGAGTTACTCACTTTGGTATCAATTTTTC